CAAAATTACCAAAATATTTATGTCTGTGAAAGAAGATATTGAATTTATTGAACATGAAGAACTAGAAAATATTTTATCAGAACTACTTATCATAAAGAAGAAATAATTAAAAAGATAATAAATATGTATAATGATTGAACATCATTAGAAAGATGATATGATTCTATTTCTACTGTATATTTGATGAAATAATTTAAAAACAGTAAATAAAATAAATGAATTTTTATTTAAATTTATTTTCAATAATTTAATATAAAATATGATAATTTATATTTAAATAAATAATAACTTAAATAGAATGAATAATTAATGAAATAATTAATTAATGTAATAAATATGAAAGTTAAATAATATTTTATTCATTGAAACATTGATTATTTAACATTCTTTTTATTTCATTTTGTTTAAATTACATTATTTCTCATTATTATTCATTTCATTAATTTATTAATATTTATTATTTATTTATTTGAAAGTACAACAAAGAATCTTTCTTTCTTATTCTTGAGATAAGGGATTCGAAGATGGCATGTCAGAGACACCACATACAACCACAAAATATTTCTATACTTCGAATATCTCAGTTTTCATCTGGTCATGACGTACCTTTGGTGAGATAATATCTATTCAATACGAACTGGTTATTATTTATTAATATTTATTATGAGTAGTTATTATGTAATAATATTATTCATTATTATTCATAAGGATTATTATGTATTTAGAAGAATTATGTATCAAGAATTATAATTTATTAAAGAAGACACATATATAATTGTTACTGTTGTATGTACATTTGAATATAAGGATATTATCAATGAATGGTGTTTTTAAGTAGTGTCGGAGATAAAGGGGATGAGTTATAATCATTAGATTATGGATATCCTCTCCTTAAAACAACTATATAAAGAATGAGAAATATTATATTACTCATTAAAATCAAAATAAAAGTCAGGCAGTAACTTAACCGAGGAACCATTTAAGTCGAGCATGCTTGTAAAAACAATATTTGAATAGAAATAAAGCATTTTGAAGAAACTGATTCACTCACTTCTCAACATGATGAAAAACCTAAAAAGAAGGTTAATCATAATTGATTTGTTTTTATTTATTTCAATATGGATTAATTGAAATACAAAATAACAGAAAAACAAAAATAATGAAAGAATAAGTGTATTTCAAACAACTAACAATGAGTGAAATGATATTATTATCAATATTGAATAACGATATTCAACATTTTAACAAATGTATTAATATTTCATTGTTAATAATTTTATTCAATCTCTATTTGTTTTTTATTCTTTTTTCATCTTCTTATAATTAAATTCACTAATAAGTGTTTCAAAATCTTTTATTTTAAAATAACAAAAAATGAAATAATCATTTATTATTATCAAGCTAATGTTAAATACAAGATAAAAGATAAATTATATAATAATACAACACTATTCTAGAATATAATTTTATGAATTTTCATTTGAAAATAAAAAAATGATTGACAAAGACATCAAAAAATGGAAGTATCATCAAATTAGTGACATTTTAGAAGATGATTTGAGTCAAAATGAGTAGATAAAACTACTACAGTGAAAGCATGGAAGTCCATCAATATTAAAAAGAATGCATTTCTCCAATTAACTAAAATGCAAGATGGAGCAATATTTTGTTTGTATAGAAAATCAAAAAAAAATGAAAAATGAAAGATTAAAATACTCAACACTTTGTAAAGACAAGATAACAACAGTAGAACACATCATACTATCTTGTATTTGTCATAAATCACAAATGGAAAAACGTGACAATATAGGTATTATAATATGGGAGGGATTAATAAGAAAATACACAGGAAATAAACAATATAAAAAACCCCCATATGAAACAGTGTTCAATTATAAAGACATCACAATGATATTGAACAAACAAATAATGCCTAAAAGTGAATGACAATATCACAAAATAACAGACAAATACGTATTAAATAAAAAGAATAAAACCAGTTTATTATTTGATATGACTATTGTGGCTGATCACAATATTAATTGAGTCTATTTGAAGAAAATAAATATGTATAAGAAATTAAAGAATATTCTAATGAAAATAGAAAAGTTAAAAGATGTCAAAATAATTCCAGTAATAATTTTAATAAATGGATTAATAAATAAAGAAAGTAATAAATTAATTAAAGAAATAAAAATTGACATTGACATCGAGAAAGAAGTAAAAACCTTGTCATAAAAAACATGATAGATGTCATTGAATATTGCTTCAATAATAATCAAAAATACTCCGTAGAGCTGCTAGAAGATAAAGACGAAGGGATGAGATTAGTCTCAGATGATGCATGAACAATAGAAGCTAGTTCTATTAATACTTAATTAATTACCTTTTATTAGATTATTAAGTACTGATGAAATTTAAATACACTTATATTTCTTTTATTGGTTTTGATTAAATTAAATTATATTTTTCTATTTTTATCAATCTTGTATCTTGTTTATATTTTTCTTGCATGACTTAAATCACATGTAATGATAAATGTTGTTGTTTGATGCAACTTTCATTTATTTTGAATAAATAACATCACAAAGTTATATCCTTTCATAATTAATTAGTATCTAAAATTATCAATCATTTAATTAACACTTTTAGATATAATTTAAGTGTTTTAACAATAACTAACAATAAACACTAAATGTTCTAAATAGTCTATTGTTATTACACTGCATAAACATGAGTATAATATTTTTTTTTAAATCAACAAACCTAATTAAGTATATTTAAAGTATTACTGTTATAGTTACTTAAATAAATGTTGTTTTAATTATTACTAAGTTTATGATAATTGTTTATTTTTGTTTTTTTTAATTTTATTCAAAGTCATATATGAATAATAATAAATCCTTACTCAATAAACTAATAGAATGTTTGTTTATTGGTGCTATGTTAATTAGAAGAATTTCTTTCAATACTTTATTGTCACTTAAACAAAAAATACTGACATCCAAAACCTGTAAAGTCATAAAGCTTTTCATTAGAAGAAACAGTTACTTGATTATAATAAATCAACAAATTTATTGAACTAATTTTTGTGTAAATTAGTTGATAATTTACTACGAAAATTAAATAAACCAAAATTTATCATGGAATCAAGTAAAAAATACTAATAAAATAAGTTAAAAAGAAAGACATAACGAAATAAGTGTTTATACAGCAACAATACTGTTTATAACCTCAATAAAAGCATTTTCCCTTAATGAATTAATTTAATTAATAAATAAAATAATTTAATAAAAAAATTAAAAAATAATTATCATTAATTAGATAATTCATTTCTTAGCATTCTTCTTTCCAGCTTTTGATTTCTTTTCTTCCTTCTTTTCTACGACTTTCTTTGGTTCTTCAGCAACGACTGGTTTCTTTTCAGTGATGAAAGTAGACTTCTTAGTAACTTGAACGCTTGCCTTGGCAAGAAGTTTCTTTTCTTCAAGAGCCTTGAAGATAGATTCCATAAGAGCTTTCTTGTTTTTGTATTGATTACCTTTAACCTTAAGATAGAAGTCATGATACATATGTTTATCGATTTTACCAGTTGTTCTGTATTTAAGAAGAAGTCTTCTGAGAACTCTCATTCTAATAATCCATAATGTTTTTTGTGGAGTTCTGGCATTCTTTGTTCCCTTTCTTTTACCGTGTCCAGTATGTCTTCCAAGAATCTTAGCTTGTTTTCTTTCAACAACTCTAGCTCTTGAGTGCATAGCAGCTGGTTTCTTAATAATTAATCTGTCTTTAATCAACTTTCTAATAGCTTTTCTGCTATTAGCAAGTGAGATTTCTGGTGTTTCATTTGGGTCTAACCAGACTTTTCTATTACCACATTTAAGAACTGAAGCAGCAAGTCTTTTTTGAAGCTTTAAGGAAACCATCTCTTCGACTTCTTTCTAAGTTCAACTCTCTCTTTTAACCATATTTAGGGTTCACTAGTTTATATTTATAATTCTTTTTATTATATATTTTACTATTTTTTTTAATGAAATAAGAATAACACATCTTTATATTAACGTTATTTATAAAGAAAATCTTAAAATGATATGAAAATCTTATTTTATGTATTTTATGATTTTGATTTGTTTTAACTAAAATCTTTGAATTGCTATGATTTTTATAAATAAATTCTACAGGCTAAAGTGTTTCAATCAATGATGGGGGTTCTTGGTTGCCTTTATTACCCAATATCATTTATGATAATTATTCAACTCAAATATTTGTTATGGGTTAAATTCAATGCAAAGGTGGAGAAAAAAAATGTAAGGCTCACATACAATACACACCACAAAATCAACATTTTTCTTTAATGACTACTACTTAATGGAAAAAAATACACATTGATAACTTTTTCTTTAAATGATTGACTACAACACAGCATCTAAATAATGAGTTTAAAATATTCTTCAATTTATTCGCCTCCATGTCTATCAAAAGACAAATGTTACCAAATGAATGAACAAAGATAATTTAAGCTGGAGATTTTATTTTGAATGAAAGGTTGAATTGAAATCTTAATTTAACTAAAAGTATTGTGATTTAATATTTAAGAATCAAACTCAACTATCATTTAAAAACTCAATCATTACAAGCTCTCCAGAGAATAGTCAGTCATACACCTATATGAGAAATCTCCATAATTATGGATTTTATCATGTAATGGTGTATGGGTGTATTAATAAAAAAAGCATCTGTAAGGAACGTGTTATATTATTTATAATAACAATATCCATATCAACAAATATGTGAATATAACTTGTTTGGTAGTATTATTATTAAAATGTTAATAGTTTAGTGAGGTATGATAATTAGCAATCACTAAAATAAAGCTAAATTAAAAAAGACAGTTTTGTACAGAAGTAAAGAAGGATAATTTAATGTTTTTTTTATAACTTTGGGTAGGAAAAAAAATTTTACAGAAAAACTATTAAAAAGAAAAAGATTTGTTCAGTGAAATGTCCCAAAATCCTCCAAGAAGGCGTGTTCTTAATAAAATTACTTCACCCCAGCCACAGTCTCCTTCGTTATTCTCTGCTAGTGAACAAGAAACAGAAAATGAAAAGGATATTGATTTTGTTGAAACTGAACAAGAAGAAGATGTAGATGATGGAATTTTACAAAGTGATTGGGGAAATGAACCAAAAGAACAAGAAGATGTTCAAGAAATTCCTTTGGACCATGATGTTCATGGACAAATGTATAATTCAACAATGATAGCATTTGGACAACAGTTTTTATCAGGAAAAGTTATTACAACAAAAGAGTTAGTTGATATGAAAGAACGAATTCTTTCATCAGGACAACGTCTAGAAAAGATCCCTTTATGGCTTGATGTATCTCCACCAACAGATGAATGTGCAAACTCATTAGAAGAAGTATTTGGACTACACCCTTTAACTATAGATGATTGGTTTACACCAGACACTCGAGAGAAAGCAGCATTTTTTGAGAATTATTTTGAAATATCAGTTGTAGAAATGAGGTATATGGAAAATACTAATATATTGAATACCTATCTTCTTAATATAGTTATTAAAAAGAATGTTATCATAACTGTTCATTCAGAACCAATTGCAGCCGTTAATGATGTTCGTATAAAAATCAAAGATAAATATAAAGGAACATTTCCAAGTGCTCATTGGGTGTTATATGCTATATTAGAATTAATTATTTCAAATTTTAACTTGCTAAATGAAAGACTCTATTCAGATGTTTATAATATTGAACAATTATCATTAGTATTATTAAGAGATGATCAAGATGAATTTCTTGGTAGAATTGGTGATTTAAAAAAAAGAGCGAGTTTATTACAATTTTTAGTTTCTCCAAAGAAGTCATTCCTTAGATTTATTTTAAAATCTAAATCGAATATGGTATCAAAGAATTTAAAAATTTATTTAAGAGATATTCTTGATGACACTGTAAGATTATTAGAAAAGTTATCTTCATTAACTCACTCAATAGAAAATCATCAAGAAACTTATTTAGCAAAAATTTCATTAAGTGTAAATCGTTATAGTGAAGAAGAAAACTTATTAATGAAGAAATTTGGTGCAATAGCAACATTATTTTTACCAATGTCTTTTATAGCAGCTTTATTTGGAATGAACGTGACTGTACCTGGACAAGATAATCCAAGTTTAGTATGGTTTTTTGTAATTCTTTCATTATGCTTAGTATGGATGATTGTTGGTGTAATCTTCTTTAAAATATACAAGTGGTTTTAATTTTGTATTTTGAATTTTTTGGTTTTCTTTTATTAAATTTAAAAAATAAAAATTATTCTCTTTTGTATAAAGAAATCATTATTTATTTCTTTTCTGGCAATAATTGTTTCTTTGCAATATCCATCATATCATTCATGTCAGTTTCTGGTAATGGACAAGGATGAATATTCCATACATTAGCTGCATATTCTTTCATAGATCTATCAGATGAGAATTTACCCATCTTAGATACACACATAACACATTTATGATTCCATTCTTGTGGTTTTTTCCAAGTAGCATCAACTTTCATTTGTGCTTCAAGGTATGAAGCAAAGTCATGTGCAACTAAATAATAGTCATTACCACCCCAGAATTGTCCAATAAGTTTATTAAACCAATCAGCAGCTCCAAACATACCTCCAGAAATAGCTTTTAAGACATCATAAAGTCTTTCATCAATATAGCTTGTTCCTTGTTGTCTAATTAATTCAACTTCATTCTTCTTAGCTCCAAACATAAACATATTTTCTTCTCCAATCTCTTCTGCAATTTCAACATTAGCACCATCCCATGTACCAATAATAAGTCCTCCATTCATACAGAATTTCATACATGATGTTCCTGATGCTTCATATCCAGCAGTTGAGATTTGTTCATTAATATCATTTGCTGGAATAATAACTTCTGCTAATGAAACACTATAATTTGGAATGAAAACAATCTTTAACATATTATCTATAGTTTTATCATTATTAACTATATCAGCAACTGAGTTAATCAATTTAATAATAATTTTAGCATTTTCATATGATGTAGCAGCTTTTCCTGCAAAAATTTTAACTCGTGGAACTTGTTGTGCTCGTTCTTCTGGTGTCATTTTCTTAAGTGCTAAATATTGTGCAATAGTACCTAAAATAGCAAGGCTTTGTCTCTTATATTCATGAATTCTTTTAATCATAACATCAAATAAATAAGATGAATTCAATACAATTTCCCCATCAGTGATTTTTGATACTAATCTAATTAATCGTTCTTTGTTTTGTGTTTTAACTGCTCTAAACTTCTCTTCTAAAGAATGATCACAAAGTGATCTTAATCCTTCAAGTAATGAAAGTTCAACAACCCATTCATCTGATTTAAGTGTTTCTGTTATCAATTTACTTAATCCTGGATTACATTGTAACATCCATCTTCTTGGTGTAACTCCATTAGTAACATTAATAAATTTGTGTGGCCAAATCTTAGAGAATTGTCTAAAGATAACGTCTTTAATAATTTGTGAATGAATAGCAGCAACACCATTAACTGTATGTGATCCAATAATAGCAAGGTTAGCCATTCTAATTCTCTTTGGATTACTTTCTTCAATGATAGAAAGAGCAGCAATTTCTTGTTCAGTACAATTGTGTGCAGTCTTAACCCATGATAAGAATCTGCTATTAATTTCATAACAAATTTGAAGATGTCGTGGTAATAAATTCTCAAACATTGGAACTGGCCATGTTTCAAGTGCTTCTGGTAATACAGTATGGTTTGTATATGCAAATGTTTGGACAACAATTTCCCATGCTTGGTTCCATTCAAGTCCTTCAATATCAAGAAGAATTCTCATTAATTCTAATACTCCAACAGTAGGATGTGTATCATTTAATTGAATTGCAACATATTGTGGGAATTCATTCATGGCAATTCTCATCTTTTTAAATCTTCTAACTATATCTTGTAATGATGCACTAGTGAAGAAAAATTGTTGTTTCAATCGTAATTCTTGTCCTTTATAATGTGATGAATTTGGATAAAGAACTTTACATATATTTTCATCTTTTTGTTGATTATGTACTTTTTGCCAATAATCAATATCTTCTTCTTTATTGAAATGTTCTAAATCAAATTGGTTAGATGGTTTTGAACTCCAAAGTCTCAAATTTAATGTATTTAATGTCTTATAACCTGGTACAGGCATATCATATGCAATAGCTCTAACAGTATTTCCTCCTTCCCATTTCATTCTTCCTGTTGCTTTATCTACTGTAACATATCCACCAAATCTTACTTCATGATTAACATCCTTTCTAACAATCTCCCATGGATTACCTGCTTCAAGCCAATATTCTGGTGTTTCAATTTGATATCCATGTGAAATTTGTTGTTTAAACATACCATATTGATATCTAATACCATATCCCCATGCTGGAAGATTCATTGTAGCAAGTGAATCAAGGAAACATGCTGCAAGTCTTCCAAGTCCTCCTGATCCAAGTGCAGCATCATTTTCATATTCATATAATTCTTCAAGAGATGAACCAAATTGGGAAACAACATCTCTATATTCATTTTCTAATCCAAGATTACAAATAGCATTCATTAATGAACGACCAATAAGATATTCAATTGAAAGATAATACATTCTTTTTGTTTGAATTTCTCTAAAATATTGATGTGTATCATTCCAATATTCAGTCATTCTCTCTCTTAAAGAAATAGCTGTTGCTGTAAAGAGTGATTTTGTTTTAAAATCAAATCGTTGACATGCTAATGTATATTCAATATGATTAGCAATTTGTTGTTTAATAGTTTCAACATCTTTAGATAAATATAAAGAGCAATAGTCCCACAAATTATTATATTTTTCAGAATCTGATTCATTAGTAAAATGTTCTGCTTCAGCAGCATCAGCAAATTGATTCTTTAACTTGTTTAATGAAATAGATCTTCTAACATGAGAAACTCCTTCACTTGATGAGGATTTTTGCATTAAAATTTGAATTAGCTTTTTAATAAGTTCTTTTTTAAAGTTCTTAGGGTTCTTTTTAATCTCTTTTTTTTCGCTTTCTTCTTATTTTGTTTATTATAATATTTTTCTTCCATTTTTCTATTTTAACTCTTTTACTTCTTTCAATTTTTCTCTTCTATTTCATCGGAACATAGTTCATTTTCTTTGGTAGAATTTACACACTCCTTCCCCTTTCATTTTTCCTTCTTCTTTTTTTTTCTGAGACCTATTTTTAATTATTATCCCTTTTTAATTTTTACTTATCATTCTTTTAAATATCTTTTTTGAAGCTTTTCAATAACAAAACCAAAAAAAAAAAAAATAATACGTTTATATTCTTTCAAGTACAAACAAATAAATTAGAAATTAATTTTATTTCCTTAAAAAGGATATGTACGAGAAGACCTTAATGTATTAAAACGAATTTTTATAAGCCTTTACAAGACTATAAATATAAGGATATACTTCTTGAAGATTATGACATGAATTCGTTACTTCAAAAGATGTTTTAACATATTGATAACATTGATCATATAAATCATCAAATTGATCATCATAATGTACTTTTGGTGAATTTGGACAAACAGTCTCTTTCTCTTGGTTATCTTCATACTCTAATAATGCATTCATTATTAAAACTATAACTGCTTTTTCAATAGTAAGTTTTTTCTTATGACTATTTTCTGCTTTAACTGGTTTCCTTAACCCAATACCAGAATATTCTCCTTTTTCATCTCTATTTTTAAGTGTTACTTCTCTCATACTGTTTTTCTATTTGAATTTAAATCATTTTTAAGTTCTAATTTTTATCATAACCACCCCATTTTTGGTTCTTCAGTTCTGTTTTATACTTCATTTGTACCTTTTCATATTCATTAGTTTTTGGGAACTATATTTTTCTATTTGTATATTCTCTTTTTTGATTTTTTATTGTTTCTAATTTTTATTTTTTTTTTCTTTTTTTGGTCCTCTCAAAGAATCTACTTGTTTTTATATCTTTGAGTTCAAGATTCAAATTACTCTTTTTTATATAATTTTTATAATACTTCTTAATAGTTTTTTTATTAAATTATTATATTTTTAAGATCTAAAATCACTCATAACGAAAACAAAATAATAAATTTGATTTGATTAAATGACTATTATGAGCAAAAAGACACAAAGAATAAACTTAAGCAATGCATTACAAGCACACTTTTCTTTGAGGTAATAATTTGATGGATTTATTTTTACACACGTTCCATTATCATCACAACTTCCAATTATCTTTGGATTGAAATCTTTACAAATAACGTCTGTAGTTTCTGATGAACTTGTATACCAATTGTCAATTGACCTTAATGTCAATTTAATTGCATTCATTTCTTCTGTTGTTGGTGTTATTTCGTTTCCACATAAACCACCTGTATAACTTCTTAAAACATATTTTTGTATATCTAAATCCCTAACTGTAACTTTTGGTTCTGTGATATATTTTTCTTCATCTGTTATATTTGTATTTTCATCAACAATAACACCAACTACACCAAAACTTCTTGTTGGGAAAATAACATCATCATACTCCCAAATTAATTCTTTTAAGATTGCTTTAGTTGAGTTAAGACCTGAATAAGCACGGCCATTAATAATTCTCTGATTATTTTTGATAAACGACCTAAGCCAAAGAGCATTAAATAAAATGTCAATACTTTGTTCGTTTGAATTTATATAATATCCATTTTCTTCACAAGATATTTCAAATAATTTGTCTTTCCATGTTCCATCACCAGTATCGATAGTATGGACAGAAATCTTATATTCACTTAATCTGTCTAATGATTTTCTTAATAACTTTCTGTTTTGGATTTCATTTCCATCTGAAACAAGAAATATATCAATAGTCTGTGTCTTATCAAATATGTCTTGTTTGATGTCATCAATCATTTTGTTGAATGCATCTCTATATCTTGTTCCACCTCCATATGAAATTTTACAAAGTGAATGCATTAATTGATTAATAGAATCAGTAGTGCAATTACCACGATGAAGAACATTTTGTGGGTTGTGATTAAACGTTAAGAAATAAAGATATTGCATTGAAGTAAATCTTTTAAAAAAGCTAAATAATGTTGAAGGTCTAGAATTTGATGATGAAATATCATATAAAACAACAACATTTAATGGAACAAGATAAGGAGGATCAATGAATGGTTTTTCAATTGTTGGGTATTGAAGAAATGCAGATGGTGTTGAGACAAAATAACTCATATCTTTTGTTTTTGGTAATTGTACATTTGATAACCACACAGCATCAGCACGTACTTGAGAGGAAAGACCAGTGTTAGAATCATAATTTAAAGTGACTACATCAAAAATATTTGTTATACAACTATAACAATAATCAGTTGGTGATTGTGAATAATTAGTGTTTAATGGATATTGACCATATAAATGAAGACAATTTGTTGGAGCGTTAGCTTTATTCTAGAAAGATTAATTTTGTTTCATTTAAATAAAAAAATAAAGTGATTTTTTGTTTCATAGGTATTAAGACTAAACCTTTTTTATTTATAAAGTGAAAACTTTTTCTTTAGTTTAACAATACATCATTTAATGATAAAATAACAAACTTCAAAAGCCTGATATGCACTATTGTATAAATCAATCAAATCACTAGCAAAAACAGAGAAGAAAAATAAGAAGAGAACAATGTCTCTCATTTTTTTCAAATAGTAACTAAATATTCAGTTCTATGTCCATTTTTGAAGGAGTAAGCTTTAAACCCTCAGAACATGAAAAAAGAGAAAATGCATTAAAAGAAATTAAAGGAAAGATTTTAGAATTAGAGAACGAGATTAATGATAAAACAAAAAAAGAACAAGAAATAGAAGAAAAATTAAACACAATTGCCACTAATGAAGAAATAAATATATGGAAAAAAGAAATTTCAGACTTTGAACATCCTTCTAATACTGAAAAAGAATTAATGATTATAAATGACGTTGTGGAAAATATTAATTATTTGAAAAAATGTCTTAACTTAAAAACAAGTGAAGAAAGAAAAAAGGTAATAACTGAATTAAAAGAAAAAAAGAAAACATTAAAAATTGCAGAAGTAGTTTATAATGAATTACAACATCAAGAAAAAGAAGAATTGGAAAAAAAAATTAAAGAAGCTGTTATTGTTAATGAAAATAGTATTGTTTTAAAGAAAGTTAAAGGTGATATTACACTCTATAAATATATATGGAAATGTATTACTAATTCAAGACTAAATGAAGGAAATGAAATTGTAGTTATAGAAGAGTCTCAATTCATTAAAATTTGTATTGGAACTCCAGTTGAATCTTTTGATGATTTTGTTTCTTATTTAAAGACATTACTTAAAATGATTCAAAGCATTACTGATTTTTACCAAATGCCAGATGATGCGGTGATTGATGCTGCATCACAATTTGTTCCAATTTTATCAAAAGCAAGAAGTGGATGTAATGAAAGTGAGTTTGATAAAGAATGGAATGATGAAATAATTACGGATGTGTTTAAACAGGAAGCTAATGGATTAGTATGGAAGAAGATTATTTATATGTTGTTGTTTGAGAGAAATCTAGGTGATTAACTAATAAGTAATCATATCTTTGATATTTTTTTGATGATAAATTTATTATTTAACACTTTTTTCTTTTTAAACGAGATTCAAATAAAAAGAGAAAAGAGACACTACTCTCTATAAAAATATAAAACTATGATGAATGAGGAATCTTAAAAATTAAAATTAGTCATAAAAAATCTTTAATCAAAGTTTTTATATGAAAAAAGAGATATTTAAGAAGTTGAAAGAGACAATACATCTCAATAATAATTCACATGGGAAACGAAGGAAGTAAAGCTCAACATAAGAGAATAACACAACCAATTATGACTACATATGATAGTGTTGAAGACCTTCAAGCTGCTTTACAAAAGGCTGGTCTTGAGTCATCAAATCTTATAGTTGGTATTGATTTCACCGCTTCTAATACAAGTTCTGGCAAGAGAACATATGGAAAGAATATGCATACTATTGATGAATCAGACCCAAATCCATATATCAAGGTAATGGAAATTATGGGAAAGACATTGGAAAAATTTGATGATGATAGACTTATTCCTGTATTTGGATTTGGTGATTCTAAAACTGGTGATAGGTCAGTATTTGATTTAAGCCCAGAGTCTAAACCATTCTTGGGAATGGCTGCTGCAGTTGAACGATATAAAGTTGTTGCTTCAAAAGTTGATTTATCTGGACCAACTTCATTTGCTCCATTAATTAAAAAAGCTATAGAAATTGTTAAAGAGACAAAGCAATATCACATTCTTATTATCATTTGTGATGGACAAGTTAGTGATGTTGGTCCCAACAGAAGAGCAATTGAAGAAGCATCAAAATATCCACTTTCTATTATTTGTATTGGTGTTGGAGATGGACCATTTGGTGAAATGGAGAATTTTGATGATAATGTAAAAAAAGCTAAATTTGATAACTTTAATTTTGTTAATTATTACAAAGTCTGTGAAGGACATGTAGAAAATCCAGAAGTTGCTTTTGCATGTGCAGCCATGAATGAAATTCCTGAGCAATATGCTTATATTAAAGAACTTGGGTATCTTGATAATTAAATTTAATCAAAGATATTTTAATTGGATTTGAGTTTTTCGTAAATAAAGACTTAGAAAATAAAACATAAACATTTAACAGAAAAAAGAAAAATACCATCTAAAAAAAATAAGACTCAAAAAAATATGGTTGATAAATATTATTTTTATTAGAATATAATACTGATATAATTATAACTGTTCAACTTTTGAAATTTATCAAGGAACTAATAAAAGGAAATGGAAAAATAATGAAACACCAAAGAAATAAAAGCAGAAAACTAAAATTATTATAATTAATGTTGTCTGCAAGCACTGACTTTGAGGAGGTTGAGTCTCAAATGAAACCATTTGAAATTAAAGAAAGTTGTAAAATTGATCAAGAAATGCAAAAATTATTGAAAGATGTTTGTGATTTTACTTGTCTTGGAGAGGGTGATTGCAGTTTATTATTGAGACATTTTAAATGGAATGTCAATAAAATGAATGACGTTTATTTTGATGATCCTGATAAGTACCTAGTATTATCTGGGACTAAAATGCCAGAAAGAGATCCACCTAAAGGAAAAGTGACATGTGATGTTTGTTATGAAGAAGTAAATGAAGTAACTGGTCTTAGTTGTGGACATTATTATTGTAAGAATTGTTGGAGAGAATATATTGAAGAAGCTATGAAAAGAGGACCAAATTTCATTGACTCTTTATGTATGTGTCAAGGATGTTATTGTAAAATACATCATGAATTAGTAAAGAAAATATCACCTGATATTGCTGATAGGTTCTGGTATTTTTTGAAAAAAGAATACGTTGAATTACAAGGAAATGTTTTTTGTCCAAACCCACAATGTGGAAGGGCTATAATCGTATTATCATCAGAAAGAGCAAGTGATAACATTTTTTGTTTATGTGGACAACGATTTTGTTTTAAATGTCTTGGAGAGTATCATGCACCAGCAACATGTAAACAAGTATCTGATTGGAATGAATTATCAACTAAAGATGATGAAAATTCATATTTATTATTGACTGCAAAAGCATGTTGCCATTGTGGATTGTTATGTGAAAGAACACAAGGATGTAATCATATGACATGTCCTAAGTGTCATGGAGAATGGTGTTGGATGTGTAGAGGAGATTGGAAAACCCATGGTGAAAAGACTGGAGGGTTTTATTCATGTAATATTTATAATGCTGGCAAAAGTCTTGGAAATGAATTAGACAATAAAGCTAAAGCCAAAAAAACTTTCTATGAAAAATACAATCATTACTTTGACCGTTGGATGAGTCATAATTCTCTTCACAGACAAACAAGAGAACAAAAGAAGAAAACAATGGGAGAAGTTTATGAACACTTTAAAAATCAATCAAGAATTATTTCTAGAATAGAAGAAGCATTTGATATTTTGATTTTAGCACGATGTTGGTTGAAATTCTCTTATGTTTATTCTTTTTATTCTTCAGAAGAGGGTAAAATTACTGATTTATTCAACCATCAACAAGCTCAAATAGAAACGTTTACTGAGACATTAGGAGAATTGTTATTTAAACCAGTTGCTACTTATGATCCAGAAGTAATTGCTGCTAAAGCATCAATTTTAAAGAGAGTAATTGACCACTTCTCTTAATTTAATTTTAAAACTAATTTATTACTTATAATAATCTTCATAAAATTTCTATTTTTAATTTAAACAAAAAAAAGTTAATGAACTTTAGTCTAAAGGTACATCTCTATTTTCTATTGTCCATCCTGGATGTTCTGAAACTCTTCTTTTTACTCTTGCAGGATTTCCTACAGCAACCATATTATCTGGAATATCATGAGTAACAACACTACCTGCTCCAACTACAGCATTTTTACCTATTCTTACTCCAGGTAAGATCTTTGCTCCACACCCAATCCATGCACCGTCTTCAATAGTAACAGGTTTTCTATAAACTGTACCATAATTTCTTATTATTGGATCAGTTGAGTGAGTTCCACCAAGAATACTAACATTTGCAGCAATCATAACATTATTGCCTATAGTTATTGGAATTCCATCAATAATATAACAATTAACATTAATAACAGTATTATTACCAATTGTTATAAACCTTCCTTTTGAACATCTAAATGGTGGAAAAATAACACTATTTTCACCAATACTTTTAACAATCGTTTTGATAATTTCTTGTCTTTTAGTAAGATCTCTTTCATTATTAAAATCAAACATCTTATCATTTAATATTTTTGCTTCTTCAGCTAATTCAGGTAATTTAAAACAACAAATTTTACCTTCTGCAGAACATTTCTCTTCAAATTCAACTCTGAAAATTGACATTTAATAAACTTAATTCTAAGTTTCTTCTTTTAAGAGGATTTTTAAATTTTCATTCGTTCGATGTTCTATGAGGTATTAATTCAAATCATTTTTTACCTTTTTGGTTATTAGTAAAAATCCTTTAATTTTGGTTTAAATAGCAATTGTAAAATATTCTGTTATTTTATAAAATTAAATAACAATTTTTTATTGTTTTTTAAAAAATTAATAAATTAAAACTTGCAAAATAATAATTGCAAATGACAGAAGAAAATAAACAACCAATAAGTTGGTGTGAAGCAAGTTTAGTTGTGTCATTTGATAAAGACATTGGGGGAAGTTTGTCTAACTTTTGATTTTATCAAAAAATGACAAAAACAGAAGTAATAAAAATAGAGATAATTGCACAAAACCCATCAAACATTACAGAATTATATGGTGAATATTTCTCTTCACAAATGTTTGTGTTATTAAAAGAAATAGAAAAAGTCTAATGATTAGAATATTTCTTGCATTTCCTGATAGAATACAAGTAAATGAAATAATTGAAACTAAATATAAAATTTTTACATTCAGATTTCCACTAATTCATTCATCAATATATTGTCATGTTTTATTCATTCAAATACCTCACATTAAATCAAGAGAATCAATCCAAAGATCATTAATATTAATTACTAAAAATAAAGAAATATTACCTTATCACACTTTATTATATCAACTTATCCCAACATTTAAAGAAAATATTTTTGATGTAAGCTCTTTTCTTCAAGTCCTAGAAATGAAATTTATTTCATTTCCAAATTATTCTCCAGGGAAATCAGTTTCTTTAAAATTATTTGGCAAACGATTTGATGTAACTATTTCAGGAAAAAAACCTTTTCCATCATTATTAAGAAACTACTTACGAGAGTTAAGGTCATTATGGGTTTCATTATTAGTAGGTGATTGTATTGTTGTATTAGGAGATGATGTTTGTGAAGTGAGTGAAACAGTTGAATACCTTGTTGGACTAATTTTTCCATTGAAATATTCAGGAGAAATTCGACCATATTTTACTATTAATGACCCTTTGATTCATACTGAAAAAAGTCTTATTGTTGGAGTAACAAATAAAATGATTCCTAATATCATTCAGAAGAATAGAAAAATAACTCTTCTTGATAATCAAAATAGTATCTACTTAAGACACGTTGTTGATAAAAGATTTGAAGTTGTTAAAACAATGAGTGATACTCAAGCTGGAATAGAAGTAGAAAAAGAATTTGAAAGAAATACCATTGAATTTCTTTCAATATTTGATGGCTTTTTTATTCAAAAAGTCCCAAAAATGAAAACTTTAGCAGATCCATTTGTTACTGTTTCATATACCACTCAAGAAGTTATTAATTATATTAAACAATTTCATTTTTCTAGTGGAAAAGAAGAGACATATATTTTATTTATTCATTCACACTCTTTTTATAGATATTCCACTTCAAAAATATCAGAAATAGAACAAGAATCTTTAAACCAATTAAATAGTTTACTGGATTCTTTTGATATGAACCAATATACACATAAAGAAATATCAAAAATAACAATTAACCTTTTTTCCTTATCAAAATTACCAAATGCTTCAATTAATTCTAAAGTAGAACATTTGATTAAGCTGATTGTTCATTCAACTTCATAAATTTAATTTGGGTTTATATAACATTTTTAATTCATTGGAAGTTCAACCATATTTCCTTGAAGTGTAAAAAAAAAATATTATTAAATGTAGTTTCAATAATCTTTATGAAAAAAGAAAATCAAGAAAAAGTGCGTTGAAAATCATCAATAATTCAATAAATTGAAACTGGTTAAACGAAAATACACACTTCAAATATCTTCTACTTCAATCGACCATTATCTACAGCCATCTATTAAACAAGGGTTTTAAACTGAAATTAAAGTATTTTCTATTAAAGAATGAATAAATTATAGTATATGATTAAAAAATTATTGTTTAATAGTAATGTGAGTCATTAAAATAATTTACAATTGATTTACAAAAATAAGAAAAAAAGAGAATCTATTAGAAGAAAAGAAGAATAGTTTGGACCTTCGAACCTTAAGCTTCTGAATAAAATCTTTTGTAACTTAATTTCTGGTGTTTTTAAAGAAGAATTAAACTAATAAACCAATTTAAATTCATTAAATGAGATCATTCGCTAGTGAAAATATTAGTCCAGATGTAGTTGCATTCCAATTTGCTGTACGTGGTAAAATTGCTATTGTTTCAGAAGAAATTGATAATGCTATTAAAAAAGCAAAAGCAGAAGGTAAACCAAATCCTTATCCATTTGAAAAAGTTGTTAAATGTAATAGTGGTAATCCTCAATTATTAAATCAAAAACCATTAACTTTTGTTAGAGAAATTACTTCTATGGTAGAATATCCTCCTCTTACAGAACATCCAGAACTTTTCCATGCTGATGCTGTTGCTCGTGCTAAAGAAATTATTAAAGCTACTGGTTGTAATGGAACAACTGGTGCTTACTCACCATCTAAAGGTCTTGCTTATGTTAGACAAACAATTGCACGTTTCTTAGAAGAAAGAGATAATGTTCCAATGTCCCCAGAAGATATTTATTTAACTGATGGTGCTTCTATTGCTATTAAGATTGTTATGCAATTAATGCTTTCACATCCACTTCATGGTATTATGATTCCAAATCCACAATATCCATTATATGGTGCTTGTATTCAACAATTAGGAGGAAAAACATGTCATTATAATTTAAACGAAGATAATTATTGGTTACCAGACATTAATGATATTAAGGAACAATATGAAAAATATCAGAATGAAGGAATTAAAATTAAGGCATTAGTTGTTATTAATCCAGGAAATCCATGTGGAGAAGTTTTACCAGTTGACACTATAAAAGAAATTATTAGATTCTGTAACGAAAAGAAGATTTGTTTAATGGCTGATGAAGTATATCAAGAAAATATTTGGACTGATGTTCCATTCAACTCATTTAGAAAAATTCTTGCTACAATGGAACCAGAAATTGCACATGGACTTGAATTAATTTCTTTCCATTCTATTTCAAAAGGATTCTATGGAGAATGTGGTAAGAGAGGAGGAATGTTTGCATGTACCAATATTCCAGAATTTGCTCGTTTAATGATGTATAAAATTATTTCTACTACTTTATGTTCTAATGTTGTAGGACAAGTTGTAATGTCTATAATTTGTAATCTTCCAAAAGAAGGAGACCCATCCTATCCATTATTTAAACAAGAAAGAGATGAAATCCTTGGCTCTTTAAAACGTAAAGCAGAATATTTATGTGATATTTTCAATAAGTGTGAAGGTATGTCTTGTAATAGAGCTGCTGGAGCTATGTATCTTTTCCCAAGAATTACATTACCAGAAAAATTCATAAAAGAATGTCATGAAAGACATGAAGATCCAAATGAAACATATTGTATTGAAATGTTAAAAAAGACTGGAATTGCTGTTGTAAAAGGGTCTGGATTTGGTCAGAAAAAGGGTACATATCATTTTAGAATTGCTTTGTTACCACCAGAAAATGAAATTGAAGAAGTTGGAAAAAGAATTCAAGTATTCCATAATTCTTTTATTCAACAATACAAGTAAATAATAACTTGTAAAACATGTTTTCAATTAAACTACTTTCTTTTTAAATAAACTATTTTCTTATTTAATTTATTAAAGAATAATTAATCCTTTTGGATATACTGCTATTGTTGCTATTCCACATTGACTATTTTTATTACGTGACATATAAATATATCCATTTAACCCCATTCATTTCCATAAGAATTTTTAACAACCCAGAAATCTTGATGTTCTTCTGTTGTTCCATATCCAACAACTGTTACAATATGATCTACCCATTTACAGTTTGGTTCATCATAAATTCCCCCTTCATAAAATTGAAAACTTAGTTGTGAGGAATCAATAGATACTGCTACAGGTTGATGATATACTGCAATTTTTAAATTTTCTTCTGTTTGTGGAAAAACAAAAGAGTAGTCTTTTATTTTTATTACTGGTTTTTTACCATCAATAGAACAATTATTTGCTTTGCCAGTATAAGGATAATCCCTCTCAAGAAGAATCCCATGATCTCTTACATAATTAAAACTATTTCCTACATTCCCACATGTACATCCCCAATTAGAATATTCTCCTTGACTACAATCTACTATTTGTTGTTCAGATAAATCAATTTCTTTAATAGAAGTTTCTTGCATTATTAATGATTCTATTGTTGCAATACTTCCAAAAGCATAGCATGAAGCACATTTTCTTTGATTCTTTACTGGAGTTACTTTCCCTTCACTTCTCCAATCAATGCTGTCAAGTACTTCTTTATTATCCATCTTTTTAACCAAATTCATTCTATGAGATTTCAATTGTTTTATTTCTTTTTCTATGTCAATACGATGATGAAGCATTCTGTATTCTTCATTTGTTAATACACTGAAAGGACCTTCATTAGTGACAGTAAACGAAAGGTTTTGTTTATTGATCATTTGAATTAATTTTGAATTTTGAAGAAATATTGCTCTTCTTCTTAATGCCTCACTTCCTGAATATTTTGTATTGTATTTGATTTTCCATTGATCAAAATTGATAGCAAAACTAAAATTAACAATAATAAGAAAAAAAAGGTTATTTCGATACATTCAGTTGTTGTAAAATTATTAGATCCATAGTTTTGAATAATTTCAAACATAATAAATAACTTTTCATTCAAAAAAGAAGTTATATCTATTATATGTAAATCAATTAACTTGCTAGGCATCATCAAAAACGATTCAAAGTATTTATTGCACATGATGGAATATTTAATACAGAGGAACAATATATAGAAACAGAAGAAATGTGGTTTTCACAATGGGATATGGGAAGTGCTGTGTGGGAAGGAAAAGAGAAAAGTAAGAAAACATATGAAAATTCACCACACCGATTTGTTGAAGAATGGGACACACCTATTTTATGTATTCATAGTGAAAAAGATTATCGAGTAGTGGTGAGCCAAAGGATTGCAGCATTTAATGCTGCAAGGATGAAAGGAGTGGCAGCGGAGTTATTATATTTTCCCGACGAAAACCACTGGGTTGTTAAAGCACAAAATGGGATGTTATGGCAAAGAACATTTTTTAGATGGTTGAGACGATGGTTAGAATGAGGAAAAGAAAAAGTTAGAGAAGGAGAAGAAATTAAAAATATTAGAGAAGAAAAGTCAAATCATAGAACTAATTTAAGATGGAGGTTAAAGAGAATTTTTTCAAGGGTTTAAGTAATTTTAGGAATATGATTTGAGAAGAGGAGTATCAAGAAAAGATAGGAGTTTTAGGAAGGAAGAAAGAGAGAAAAAGGTAAGAGAAAGGAAAAAAAAAAGAAATTAGAATCATAAAGAGGCAAAAGAAAATAGAATTAGAATAAAGGATTTTGTTGAAAGATATCTCAAATCAAAGAAAAGAAAAACTGAGGATTAGGTGTTATGTCGATTAATTCTAATCAATGGGAATAGTAAAAAAGGAGGCACTATTTAATGTGGGGGTTAGATAGAACTCAAGAACAAAAT